TTATGAAACTTAGACAGTGAAAAACAAATCGATAGAAGTTCTTTATCTATTTGTAGATATCTAGTTTCTGTTTCAGTTAAACTACGTGAGCAAAAGGCAACTGGCTGTCCCTGTTGTAAAAGGCACCCGCCAATTCCGAATTGACTCGCATCAGACTGTATTTCAATAGGCAAATTTGCATCAAAAATTTTTAAATTAGGAATTTTAGTAATTAAACATTTTACACTATTCAGGGCTGTTGTATGCTCTATAGTCCAAGACCAAAGCACATTAATTTTAGTTAGCTCTCTTAAAGGAGTTAATAACTCAGATAGATTTGGAATGTATTTAGTTAGGTAGTTAATCATACCAATTATTCTTAATAACTCTTTTTTATTTGTCGAATCTTGTAGTTTCAAGATGGCATCAACATATGAAGGATCTGGTTTTACCCCTTCTCTTGAAAATATTTGACCTACATATTTTACTTCCCTTACTTTATATTGAATTTTATTTTTGTTAAATGTTACTCCAAATTTTTTAGCTCTTTGCAACACTTTTGACAAAATTAAATCATGTGTTTCCTCATCTGATGCTGGAATAATAAGATCATCAAAATATATCCCAATATCTAAATCTCCAAAAATCTTTTCATTTATACGTTGAAATACCTGTGGACTAATATTTAAACCAAATGCCAACCTCTTAAAACAAAATTTTCCAAAAGGTGTGATAAAAGCAGTGTACTTCATACTTTCCTTGTCAAGAGGGACATGATAAAAACCCCTTTTTCAAGTCTAATACTGTAAATATTGACTTACCTTGTAACTTCAATGAGAACTCCTCTACGGTGGGTATAGGAAATTGCTCTGTACATATTATGTTATTATTTAAATGCATTGGATCTAAGCAAATTTTAAAACTTTTATTAGGCTTCTCTACAATTACAATGTTGTTAACCCATGTTCGTTAAGTGACCTGAAGTTGGTCATGGTCTTCTTGAAGCTGTCATAGTCATATGCTTAGAACATCAAAGTAGTTCCAAGGCCATATAAGACATCTAGAGTTTAAGACACTTTACAACACGTGTTAATAGCCTTATCTTTTGCGAAGTTTGTGCGTCTGGACTATTTAGCTTTCAATTAACTTCTATTATTCTTCTTAATATTTGAAAGCTTTACAATATTCTTGTAGAGTTTGCAACGCAAGTGATGTTTTTTCCTTATTGATGGTTATGCTTTCATATAGGAGGTGCCTACTTATTGAACGTCAGGGCTTGGAGACGAGTGGCGCGGGATCGACTTTGTTGGAGGCAGAAGTTACAGGAGGCCAAGGCTCAATTTGGGCTGTAGCGCCATTGGAAGAGAAGAGAAGAGATAGGAGGTGCCTATATGATTTTTTGCTTTCATACTTCCAGGTGCCTTTCGTACTTCCTTTTTTGATGAAGTTTTTATTTTTATTTATGTTTTTCATGATCTGAACTGTACAGCAAAATATCGTTTAGCGACTCATACCTCGAAAGTAAATGTAAATATTGTACACTATCCTTTATTAATGGTATTTCATTTATCTTTAGTTAATTGAATTAAAGTATGTACAAAGTAATGATTTAATAATTCCTACAACGATACGTAGATAATTACACAATATCTGGTTACGCATTACATATAAATTTAAATAAATACACTAAAATCAGCTGTGGTATTTGTCAATTAGTGTGTTAATGTTATGTTTTAATTTACAACTATAATAGACGTTTTCACGTTAGTAATTTTCTTATATGATAATAAAAATAATGGATTTTTTTATTTTTCCTATGTATGTGATACTATTTCTATAAAATAATACTTATATAGGTAGTAATACAGATATGCCACACTAAAACAACCTTCGAACAATAATTTATATAGTTCTCGATCGACGACGGGTGGTTAACAATCTCATAATTATATATATATATCGCATAGTACACCAATTAAGTAATTCTTTAATCGATATGACAGTTAAATTCATTTAAACATAATTAACTACGTGTAACATATGTTATGAAGGGTTGGAACAACAAGAGGTGAAATTGCAACTTTCTACAGATTAGTTCACTCCTGCTCATAGCTTGTGCAAGGTCACTGATACGCTATTTAGTGAAGTAGTAGCATTATGTCGATTTTTTCTATGAGCATTAGAACAAGAGACAAAAATGCTTCAATTTAACAAATATATTTTTTATTTCCAACTTTTAATTGCCTTTTCTGACTGAAGCAAAATGATTTAAGAAATTGTAAAATAATAAATTAAATAAAAAGTGATCAAATATCTTTCTCGTGTTTTCACAAACCACAACACGTTGTTCTTTGTCGCTTGATATATTCTGCAAGTATTATGGGCTATATCAGGCCAATATTCGTGCTTTTTTAACATACATCTAACCTCTCGTGAAGTAATTGCATTTTCCTCCTATTGGAACATGATTCAATCATCTTAACAGTGACCAAAATCACAATATTTGCTCCGTTAAGAATTAGCGATTAGAATAAGCAACATTTTTTTAATTGTACTATTTTAAAAATTTTTGTAAACATATAAAACTATCGAGTACTACGATCGAAAACTCTGAGTAATAACTTTTGACTGTACAATTTTTTTTTTCAATAAATACATACTTAATACCATTTTTACTAAAAAATGTTAAATTTATTAACTAAAAGTAGAAACTCGGTCGAATTAATAATAACCTTCTTAGTTTAGTTAGTATTCAAATGTAGATCGCATATCTTTGTTGTATTGTTCTGAAACTATTTTCTTGTAGCATTTTAAAGTAATTACTATTTAAATGAGAATATGCCAAAATTAAAGATTAAAGTAAATTAATTGACGTTTCAACTTCCACTGCAAATTAGAAATTTGTATTTTGAGAACGATTTCCGAAGTGGAAATTGAAACGTCAATAAATTTACTTTAACTTTTAATTGTGGCTTATTCCCATTTAAATAGTAATTATCTTTGTTGTGTTACGGACTGGCTCATTTTTGACGATTGACATTCTCTTTCTATCTGACAGTCTCCATCTTTTTCTGGCTACTGCTTTCATTTCAAGCCAGGATTTTCCCATTTTTCCCCTTCGCTCAGTATGGTCCTTTTCCAAGTTCTTTTAGATCTGCCTACTTTCCTTCGGCTTTGAGGATTCCAATCCAGCGCTGTTCTGGCAATGTTATCTTGGTGTCTACGGAGTGTGTGGCATAGCTATGTCAATTTTATTCGCCTTATTTGGTTTATGACGTTTTCTGTAAAACTTGTAATTGGTAAACTATGGTGCTGATATCTTTCACGTTTCACAGCCATATAGTAATACAGCCTTTACATTTGTATTGCTTTTCTGCACATCACGCTCTGTATCACCGTTACAGTCAAATATGCTGCCAAATATACAAATTCCATTACTCTCTCAACTTCCTGGTTGTTGTAGCTAGCATCAATGTTTCAATGTAAATGTCTCACAGTAAACATAGTTTCTTACAGTTTGATTCAAGACATACTATGGGCATAAGTTATCATTTTAAGTATTTTTGATTGAAACATCTGTAGGGGATGTTAGTGTTGTAGGCTTTACTGCATCCCCATAAATTTAATTATAATAATTATGTATTTTTACTGTCTCTTTTGTTGGAAATGGTACATGTGCTGACTTAACTGGGTTTATCTTGAGTTTCCATCCCTCTAATTAATTGTTTAAAAGGTTGAGATGATTTTGGAATTTTTAATTGGCTCTTCCTGTGTTGCTATAAGTATGTTATCGGTTAGTGGAACATTAGCAGTTTAGAAAGATAAAGAGGATGCTACTCTCGGCTATACCTGATAATTTATATCATTATTAACTTCAAAATAACAGTTGTTATGGTAAAACTTTATAACAAGATATTGTTGGTCGGGTAGATGTATGTCATTTTAATGTATACAGCAATCTTTTAATAATTAACCGAACTAAAATATTAGCGGTAGTTTTATTCGATATTTGTAATTTTTACTTTCTTAACGGCAAAGGAAATTACTTGCTTTGCTTATATGTAGTTAAATAATATGCAAAAATAATTGCGCTATGAACATTACTAATGCATAGCATAAATAATATGATCATTTGTATTAGTTTATGCGCAAATTGTTTAGTATGCTCATTAAACTTATTAAAATAACGATGGCAAATATATAAAAATATGCATTCTAACTATAAATAATAGAGATAATAATTGTCATTAAATGTTGATAAATTTTCGTAAAAAGAACATGTATCATTGAAAATGGATACTTGTATTTTATAATCTATTCAATTTTTTACTAAATGACAAGTTTAACGGATTAAAATGTTTTCTTATATTCGTCAATTATAATGATGCACCTAGAGATTAGAGTATTTTTAATGTTTCATGCTTAATTCAGTTATTTTATTGACCTTTCAAGACCTATAAAAGAATTTTTAAAATTCAATAGTGGACATATAATATTCTTCTGTCTTTGCATCATATATAAATAAACCTGTTGTCAGATTGTTAGCAAATTACAATACAAACGAGTTTTCTGTAGAAGATTATCTTGATTGAATATCTTGATTTGGTCACATACTAAACGAAGCATAGACAAATATATTATAGAACAATTAACACAATTTTTTCACTTTATTTGTATATCAAATAGTTGTATATCAAAAATGGCAGGATTTCATAAAGAAAGTTTACAATTTTTTTGAAATTGTAAAAATAAATTTTAAATTAAATAAAAATTTAGAAAATTTGTACAATTAATTTAAATCAGTTTAAATTAATTGTACAAGTATTCCTTTCAGCGGATTTTTGTATTCAATCAATTCTAGGAATAACATAAAAATGGTTGTAAACATTACCAAAAATAAGAAACGTAACTTGCTAAGCTTTATTTATTTCTTTCTTTATATTATGTTTTCCTGAATCCACTTTTGCATAATATCTAAATTTTGATTTAAGCGTATCTTAAAAATTTTTATTTTGTTACAGCAACTCAAAGATGACCTCTGTGAAGTTGTGTCTGAAATGGAGTCCCTCGACTCAGGCGAGGAGGGCAAAAATAGCAACAAGACCAAAATGATGTCTATAGGCCGAAAAAAGTTTAACATGGATCCAAAGAAGGGTATTGAATATTTGATAGAAAAAGGTCTGTTACAGAATACAGCGGAAAGCGTTGCCCAGTTTCTACATAAGGGCGAAGGGCTGAATAAGACTGCTATTGGTGATTATTTAGGAGAAAAAAACGATTTTAACGAGCAAGTTTTACAAGCATTTGTTGAATTACACGATTTTACCGATTTAATTTTGGTGCAGGCTTTAAGGTAAGTAAATTTAATATACTTCATTATTTACAATTAGTTCTTCTTCAGTTATAAAAAAAATATTTAACTTCAAGCTGAAACTGACTTAAAAATTGAAAATGCTACCTAAATTAGGAAGAATCACTTCTTCCTGACGCTTCGTTTGTAACTGGGGCAGATAGTATCAAGGTCGTCAGTGATGGTAGGAGAACTAGAACCGTTTCCGCATTGCTTTTGATAAACAGTTGCTGAGAAAACGCGAGGAAGAAAAAATTACAGACCACTGCTTGTAAAAACCGAACACAATGTACTATTGTAGTTACACAATAGTTATTGTTTATTTGGGTATATATTACTGCGGACATTAGACATTATTTCGCATACAATCTTATCCTTAATCTAATACTAGTATATATATATATATATATATATATATATATATATATATATATATATATATATATATATATATATATATATTGTTATGATTGTTTATTTTTACTTTGATTTTAATTTATTGAGCCAATCAAAATAATGTAACTTAATTGTTATCAAAATTCTAGTTGTCCTTTATCGGAATAGACAAAAAGGGTAATAATAAAAGAAAATATTATATTAAAAAAAATTACATGTCTTTATTTTATATGAACGAATAAAACAATTATCAATTCTACCGTTATCTTATTAATCAGCATACAAGAAAATAAATGAAATTTTTATAATAATAAGATTTTAAATCTACATACATTTATATTAAGTGAAAACCAATTTTACTTAAACTTTCCTTTACTTGAAACAAAAAAAAAAACAAAACAAAAACTTTAAACTTTTGATTAGTCAAACAAAACTCAATTCTCAAATTTGAATGATGTCAACGATGAATAACCATGATGTCAACATAGATCCTTCACAAATACCAATTTCAATTGTCAAACTTAAATATGCAGTATTTTTGAGAAAAACTCGGAAGTTTCATTACATCAAGCAGTAGTTTTTCGCGTGGATACCGACTATTCAGAGGATTATCTCACTAATTTGAAAGTTGAGGGAGAGTGGAGAAGCAGGAAATATGACTTGATTTAGAAACGTGGAAAGTGAAACATATAGCAAATACGACGTCGGAAGAAAGCAGCATTCGTGTCTTTTCAAAATACGAAACAACAATTTAAATAGACATTATATATAAGACGAAGGAAAAATCCTATAATATTACCAATTGACAATGCTGAATGGATTAGAAAGTGCAAATCCATCCGTCCATTTCAGTCCTCGGTCTTTGAAGAATATGGCAACAGAATTCTGCTGCAGTTCAGATAGCAAATTTCTCTTTAGTTATTTGGTTCGTAATCTCTATTTGCTCAGTGGCCATACATTCCTGCTTATATAATAAATGTTTCCAAGACATTATTATAAGGTACTAAGTCCGAAGAGTCTCATAAAATATCTATTTATTGCATTATATCTGGATATAGATCCTGGCAATGTAATCTCCATGTCTCTGCTATATCTTCTGTTGCTTCCCAGGGTTCCTGTGTGATCTTCAACGCTACACGTTGTGGCTTTAAAGTATCTTGTTATGTATCATATTTTTCTAAATAGATCTCTTGGCTGATTGTTTTGATCGTGGCTCTCATCGTGGCCACTTTGACAAAGATTTCGTCTATTCTCAATTATTTTAAGGCTTTCATCTTTTATCTAGTGTTTTTGTTTTACTAGATTATTTACCCGTTGGCGATTAATTGGTGTTGTTACACAATGTTTAATAGTCCCCCATATTTCGTGTTACCCTTACCAAAAGAGACCATACTTTTTGCACTTCTTTAAGAAGGTGGTCCTTGTTTCTTAGTTCTATCCCCTTTGCGCCTTTAAGTTTGAGCTTTACTTTAGCTACGAGGGGAGTATGATAATAAACAATTCCCTTTCAAAATACTAAGCATTTATTACGAAAATCTAATTTTATATTTTAGAATAAGTATCTGAAATGAAAATAAAACTATAACATAAATTTCGTCTAACAATTTGATATGAAAATTAACAAATTCTTTTCACATTTTAAAGAAATTAATAACAGGTTGATCGTATAACCAAAGAATATAGACGCTTATATAGCGTCTATATTCTTTGGTATAACTGATAGTGAATCCTTGACCGAAGAATACAAATTAGACAAAGAATTATCAGATATCTTCTCGTCTGATCATTTGTTACCCAGGAATTTAACAAAAAAGTACCGTGTGTTCGGTACCGGACACGTGATGTTATTCAACAAACGAAATTCTTAATTTAAATACATTGATGTTGTACTTAACTTAGATTCTGCAATGTTCTCAGACGAAGATACGTCGTAGCCAACCGTATGAAAGGTCGTCATTACCGAAATCATTTGCTCAAAACGATGCAAAATATCCAGTTCTCGAAATCACCCGAACTCAAATCCCGAGAAACATCCTCGTTCCAGGAATAACCATAAAAATATATTCAGAACGGAATATCTATCTCTAATTTACCAAAATCCAACAGTTACCGAAGGAGCTAAAAATCCAAAAAACTAATCACGGCAACTTACTTATAGGCTTATAGGAAAAATTTAGGCATTCGGACTTAACTGCGTTTTTCTGCAAGAGAAGAACAAAGAGAGATAGAGAGAGGGGGGGGAAGAGCGGGCGGGGGAGGGGAGAGAGAGAGAGAGAAACAAAACAGACATAAACAAAATCCTAGAACTACAAACAATGCTACTACTTACTAGTTAATCCAAGTCATTAATATATCATTAATATATAGAAGCATCGGAAGAAGACGAATTTCATGGCTGAAGAACCTGAGAGAATGGTTTGGATGCAGCTCAAAACAACTATTTAGAGCTACTGCCTCAAAAATTAAGCCATTAAGCTATGATGATTGCCAACCTCCGTAGCGGAGATGGCACCTGAAGAAGAAGAAGAAGAATTAATATATCTGTGTACATATACAGGCTTATAGGAAAAATTTAGGCATTCGGACTTAACTGCGTTTTTCTTCAAGAGAAAACAAAGAGAGAGAGTGAGAGAGACGGTTGGAAGAGCGGGCGGGGAAGGGGAGAGAGAGAGAGAGAGAGGGAGAAAGAGAGAGAGAGAGAAACAAAACAGACATAAACAAAATCCTAGAATTACAAACAATGCTACTACTTACTAGTTAATCCAAGTCATTAATATGTCTGTGTACACTATTGTCCATCCAAATCATTGTCACGCAGGTCCTGAATGTAGATATGGGGGATGTGGCAACCCTGGAGTCTAAGTGAGAGCGCCCACCAAAGTGGCGTGGCAGTGGCAAGTAGCAAGTAGCACGCGTCTAGCATAATGTAACCAATCCTAACGAATGATTAGAATGAATGACGTTACTGTCATTTTGGTGTAAACTGAATCATTCGTTTTCATTGGTTACATTATGCTAGACGCGTGCTACTTGGAGAGCGCCCACCAAAGTGGCGTGGCAGTGGCAAGTAGCACGCGTCTAGCATAATGTAACCAATGAAACCGAATGATTCAGTTTACACCAAAATGACAGTGACGTCATCCATTCTAATCATTCGTTTGGATTGGTTACATTGTGCTAGACGCGTGCTACTTGCTACTTGCCACTGCCACGCCAGTTTGGTGGGCGCTCGCCCTTAGGCTACCAAGAAACTATACGAAAACTTACTGGTTTACATGAAAAAGATTTATATAAAATTGTATAAATTGCTCTGGTACCAAAAGCAGGACAAATCTTTTACAGATTGGAGAGCAGTATATATGTATATGTGAAATAAAACCTTGACGGATTTTTGAGGGCTTTTGCAAACAAAGATGTTGCTTTGTTTTCATTTGCTCCATGCAAATGGTATTCGAGGCGACTGGTATTCGAGGAATCTTTTTGGGAACTAGATATGTCTATTCCACACGAAACACTGAACTCTATTGTCAGTTGTATATTTAAATCGTTGGCAATGTTGGCAAATTATTGTCAAAAATCGAGTTAAGCTTTTACTAGTAAATTAAAAATATTTTAAAATAATTTTAAATGTTATAATGAATTTTACTTTTTCTTGTAGACAATTTTTGTGGAGTTTTCGTCTACCAGGTGAAGCTCAAAAGATTGACCGGATGATGGAATGTTTCGCTAAACGTTACTGTGAATGCCAAGGAGAAAATAACATTTTCGAGAACTCAGATACCTGTTACGTCCTTTCATTCGCCATTATAATGCTCAATACGAGTTTGCACAATCCTAGCGTTAAGGAAAAACCCAGTATAGAACAATTTATTAATATGAATAGGGGCATTAATCAAGGGCAAGACTTGCCCAGAGAATTGTTAGTGGTAAGTAAACATTTTTATATTTTGTATAATCTGTAGGAGAAAGTCATTATGTTTTCTAAAACATTTTCTGTGCTTCTGCAAAAAAATCAGCAGGTTTTGTATATATAGTAAATTTTTCTTTACTAATTTATGCGTTTTATTTAAGTATATAATATATATATATATATATATATATATATATATATATATATATATATATATATATATATATATATATAACACTGTTTTTGATGGGTTGGAGTCAATAAAAGGGGCTATTTGTTGACTATTTTTTACTCGAGCTTTCAATTGTGATTACAATTTTTATCAAGAGCTTCTAAAAAATACAAAATGTCTTACAAAGTTGAACTAGAAATAAAAAATTTTTTCTAATTTCTCACAAGAGTGATTGTAGAATTAAGAAACCATCTTGTGCTTTGGCAGAGCATGTAATAGACAAAGACCATATTATGGATTTTGATAATATTAAAATTTTATGTAATGAAAGTAATAAATTTAAAAGAACTTTTTTGGAAATGGTTTGTATTAGCAAAAGTGATAATAATTTAAACAAAAGGTCAGAAATTCAAAATTTAAGCAAAATTTATAATTATATAATTTCTATTTAATTTATGCAGTCAGTAAAATATCACATTTTGAATTTTCCATGTATTTGTTACATTTTTTCGGGCATCTATCAATGATGAATAAATCTTCTTTTTTGTTACTTAACAAAGAAGAATCTTTTAAACAAAATTTTATTTTGACAATATGTCAAAAATAAAAATTTTTAAGTTAGTATTTATGACATTTTAGGCTGGTTGTAGCTATTCTATTTTTGTTTATAAATTCAATTTTTTTTTTCTTAAGAAACTTCATCTAAATTTTTCAGAGAAACATTTATTAGAATAAGGCATTTTTTTATTAATATTTTTTGTATTTATTATGTAAGCAGTAGTTTTATATAAAAAACTAATTTTATTTGGTGAGTTAATAAAAAATTTTTTATTTCTAGTTCAACTTTGTAAGACATTTTGTATTTTTTAGAAGCTCTTGATAAAAATTGTAATCACAATTGAAAGCTCGAGTAAAAAATAGTCAACAAATAGCCCCTTTTATTGACTCCAACCCATCAAAAACAGTGTTATATTTTTTCCAAACGAGTCACAAGTACTTCTTTTTTCTATATATATATATATATATATATATATATATATATATATATATATATATATATATATATATATATATATACCCAGAATCTTAGCAAAATTTACAATTTTATTTTGACTTTTGACTAGGGTTTTCTGCATCTCAGAGTGTTTCATGTTTCTTAAATTCCATTATTAATTGCTATAATTATCATGATTAACTTCAGTTATTATTCAGATGTTCATTGTGTTTTGGTTGTTTGTTTTTTCTAAACCTACTTACTAAATACTATTTTCTTTTTATTGTTTGACATAATAAACTTTTTTTAAATTTCCCTCTCAATTCTAAGTTGGTAACATGGTTGGTAGTACTTAAAATCACAAACGGCATTTTGTTAGACATCAGTTTGAAAGTTTGTTTTTTGTAGTTACAAGTTACATCTAACTATTTAAACAACAATAGTTCCTCCTACTACCTCTTTCTGTTCGTGAGATGTGACTGAATTCAAACCTGCGAAGACGACTGTTTTTTGTCAAACATGTCGTCTTATTTTTTACTTTTTAAACTTTGTAACATGTTCTTTAATTTTTAAGTTATTTTAAAGTTTTTAAGTTTTAATGCCTTCATTAATTCAGATCACATTATGTTATTTAACGTTGTGTTTTATATGCTATGAATCTTACTTTCTGGTAAGTTTTTATAACTTTTATATTACATCAGCCTAATTTTATAACACAGTAATTTTCATTGTAGACCTTGATAAAGGTGGCAAATAACCACCGAAAGCTCGGATTTCAGAATAAATAGTACGCCTTGGCAAAGCTCTATTTTTTATTGACTACCACACCCAAAAAGAAAAAAGTATTTACATATTTTTTCCAAACTAGTCAAAAAATTTTGGACTACCTTATATATATATATATATATATATATATATATATATATATATATATATATATATATATATATATATATATATAAATACACAATGTGAATGAGATTAAAATCTCACTGTAAATGAAGATATCGGTCAAGGAGAAATAAAAAATGAAAAAGCTATTTCAATTTTTTAATAGAAAATGTTTCGTGTAGTATTTCTGCACTTCTTCAGTTCTAATGATTGTGAAGTCATATATAGATGTCAAACAATGTCAAATGCATATGTTGAGATGTTAGATTGATAGATGTTAGTCTCTTACATCTCTTAGTATAATTTAATTTTGTTTATTTTTCACTGAATTTTTTAGTCGTATTTTTTAATTTGTAAGGTAGTTTCTCATTTTATTCTAAAATTTTGCTCTTACTATTACTTATAGAAACATTGCTTCCCGTTTCAAAGCTTGTTTTGTTTCCATATAATGATCTGTAAACTTCTTACTAATTTATTGACGTAGCATCTCTCAAGTGAATTCACAAAAGGAGAAATTTTCAAAAGAATTCACAAAATCTTAACAGTTATAAAAGACACACATCAGTGTTGTGCCACATTACATTTTTTATTTTATATAAAAATATATAAAACATAACACTATATAACTCAAAACTTAGGATAAAAAGAGTCATAAAATCTTGTGTGCTCCATTTTGTGATCGCTTCGTTGTCTTTGTGTCCACATTTCAAAAGGGTATATGCGTTGTCTATCTGATTCTTATGACTGTACATGTCTCGCATGAATAGTAAAATATGGAAAAGACGAGAGTTGAAACACGTTTTTGTCATAGTAATGTGACTATCACGCCATCCCGCGTTTAGTGTCCTAGTAATGTGACTATCACGCCATCTCCCGTTTAGTTCAGTCATTGCTGCTATTGCTAGTTGTGTACGTCTTCGAATTTCGGGTTCACACCTGCCTGTGTTGTTAACCAGATCTCCAAGATATGTCATAGAGGAGACTACCTCATACTTCGCAGTAATTCAGATTTAAGGAAAGTGTTGTTGGCGATCAATAACCGTGATTTTGGTTTTGTTGTAGTTTACCATGAGTCCAAAGTTAGCACTTTCCAATTCGAGTTTTTTTAATATATAATAAAGTTAGTAATTTTTCTGGAGTAGAGATTAGAACTGTAGTCTGCAAAACGCAAGTTAGATATCTTGACACCGCCTAGGTTTACTCCTCCCTTTCAACCATCCTAAGCTGTGTGCATTGTGAACTCTGTATAAACGTTAAATAATAAGGAGATAAACTGCATCCTTGGCGTACTCCTTTCTCCAAAGTGCATTCGTCAGGTAGGCATCCATCCATTTGAATATATGCCAAGTTATCATGATCTAGTTTGCTAATAAGGTGAGTCAAGTGTTTAGGTACACACATTGTTTCGTCAGTATGTTCCCCTAAATATTATAAAAACTATCGAAAACATCTACCAAAACAACAAAATGGAAGTCAGAATAGATGGACAACTTACAGAACCAATAGAAATAGGCAGCAGAATAATATAAGGGAAATTATTGAGCCCGCTGCTCTTCAATTCAGACGACGCAATATTGATAGCCCAAGATGAAGATAGTCTGTAAAGACTGGTCCACAGATTTAACATAAGAGCAAAAGAATTTAATATGACAATCTCATCTCAGAAAACTAAAACAATAGTAGTCAGCAAAGAACCAACCAGATGTAAAATAGAAATTAATTGCATCAATATTGAACAAGCAATGAAAATAAAATAACTGGAAATTACACTGTCCACCTATGGAGACGTGGACAAAGAAGTAACAGATCAATCACAGAAAGCAAATAGACTGGCAGGATGCCTTAGTAACACTATATGGCGAAACAGATACATTAGCACTGAGATGAAGTCAAGAATATATAAAGCCAGTGTAAGACCAATAATGACATATGCCTCAGAAACAAGACCCGGCACAGCCACAACGCAAACGCTACTGAAAACTGCAGAGATTATAGTACGGAGAAGAATTACAGGAAATACGCTGAGAGATCGAAAGTGAAGTGAGGACATTAGAAGAAAATGTAACGTACAGTGTATAAATGAATAGACATAAAATAGAAAAAAAGAATAGAATAACCACATACGCCGAATTGAGGAGACCCGTGTCGTCAAAATAGCAAGAGATAAGTCACCAATCGCCAGAAGAAGTATCGGACGACCGAGCAAAATATGGAGTGATCGGAGAGATCTTCCATAGAGGTATTAATCCGCCAATGAACAAGCAGAATTGCTTATAAAGAGGAAGAAGAATAAGAAGCAGAATATTATCAAAGGCCTTTGTATAATCAACAAAACATATAAGTATCGGGATCTGATACTCTCTGGTTTTTATAAGCTGTTAGTTATATTAAGGATTTGTCCTCTAGTATCTCTGCCATTCACAAATCCAGCCTGCTCATGTGCCATTTACCAACGTATGAACCGTTGAAGTTTTCTACAGGATGTTGCAGGATGTAGAGGATCACCTTACTGGCGTTAGTTACATTAAGGATTTGTCCTCTAGTATCTCTGCCATTCACAAATCCAGCCTGCTCATGTGCCATTTACCAACTTATGAACCGTTGAAGTTTTCTACAGAACGTTGCAGGATGTAGAGGATCACCTTACTGGCGTGTAATATTAGAGCTAGTAGTCTATAGTTGTTACAGTTATTTGTTGAACCTTTTTTATGTAGAGGTATGATTTTGGTCTTTCTCCAATCCTCAGATTTTACTCAGGCTCCAGACGCCTGTGGGCCAGTTTCTTGAATTTCGTCATCTACTCAGTAGCTAAATCATCATGTAGTCTTATTGCTCCCTACTCTGATATATTCGTAGAGTGCATTGCATACCATTCCTAGTATTTTTTATTGTACTCTGTCTATGCTCTTTGTATTTGTCAGTTTGGATCCACTTATAATTGGCTGCGGTCAAATTGGCCTTTAAAGTGGGGTAATATGGGTTTGCTTGTTAATATTTTGCAAAATAACTTACTTGTGTGCTAACTAGCAGTAGTGTGATGTGAATGGTTGCTGTTGTACGTTATCCTTTGAGGTTTACACTTTCCATGTTAAGTTAGATTTCTAATTGGATCGGAAAACTTTTAAATGCTGATATAGATAGGATTTTTGATGGCTGCAATTATTGCCGACCAGCGGCGAATTTTAGCATTATGCTAGAAGCTAGAATTTTTGGTAGAAATATGTGTAAAAATAAGGAATAGAAGAAGACCACTAAGGTTACTTAGTAGTACTTGCAGTTTTTTTGTTGTGGACTTTATTTTCCTAAAACCAAATTAATATGTATGCATTTCTATATCCACGTTAATGTATTTTCTAATATGTGAAATAATAAATTTTTGAAAGGTTTTAAACATGACTAGCAAGAATCCATGTTATACCAACGTTCATCGAAGCAAGAAAGCAGCTGCGCACAATGTTTTACAATTTTATTTATTTTCTGTCTTAATGTTTCACCCATTTCATCTTCAAAGTGGAGTGACGTAAATAAATATTGCTATATATTAAAATCTAATATTTTATTTTCTTTTGTAGAGTCTTTATGACAGCATCAAGGCAGAACCTTTCAAGATTCCAGAGGATGACGGTAACGACTTAATGCATACCTTCTTCAATCCCGACAAAGAAGGCTGGCTATGGAAACAGGGTGGCCGTTATAAGAGCTGGAAACGTCGTTGGTTTATATTAAACGACAACTGTCTGTATTATTTCGAATACACCACTGACAAAGAACCGCGCGGCATTATTCCCTTAGAAAACATTTCGATACGTGAGTGTTACGATAGACAAAAACAGTTTTGTTTCGAATTGTACGCCAGTGGGGGAGCAGAGTTTATCAAAGCGTGTAAGACGGACTCCGAGGGTAAAGTTGTAGAGGGAAAACACACTGTATATAGAATGTCAGCTAGTAGTGAAGAGGAACGAAGAGAGTGGATGCACAGATTAACTCAAAGCATTAGTCACAACCCGTTTTACGATATGCTGGCTCATCGGAAACGGAAAGCTCAACTTTATTCTAAGAATTGAGTTACCGCATGGTCCATTTTTTCTATTACTTGTAAAGCCATACCTGTGTGTGAAATTACTTTATTGACAGCTGTCATTTATAAGCTGCTAGGTGTCACATATGTTATCTTTAATCTGTACAAAAATATGTCGGGTTTTAATTTGTTATTTTTTATTTATTTATTTATGTAAATGCAAACCATTGCATTTATGAGTTTACAACAATTATATTTTTGTGATTTGAATTACTTATTAGTCATTGTTATTCAGGAAAAATATTTTTAGTGATAAGCCAAAACGCTATTTTTCAGATAGCATCACTATATTATTTATACGATCGCTATTTTAAAATAACTGGTATTTTACTTGCCATTGCGATCGCATTTTGATGTGCAATTATACGATGCAACATTTGCAGTAAATAAAAGTAGCTTTTTAAGAACAAGTTAAATTATTTATACATTTTTAATACTTATACACAATATATTGTTTATCCCCAAAAAATTTAAAAGCTTTTAAATAGACTACTTCAGTATCTTTAAGAATATACTTATAGACAACCATCATTTTCATTTAGTTTTGATAGAGTGCGATCGAATGGCAATTGCAGCGATGTTGTTTATCGCTGAACCTAAACATTGCTCCTTTCATCAAAATATATATTTCTATTTAATTGTACATACAAATTGTTTATTAATTAAAAGTACAGTTGAAAGTGTCCTAAAATATACCATACATATATTATACATTTTGATTTCAGTTAATTTATACAATTATTTGACAAAAAAAGACGAAAACAATTTTATATTTTTGGTTTACTTATTTTTAGTTTAAAATTTAAACTTTAACTCTATATTTTAAAACATGGTATTATTTTGAATTTTTGCTTAATACTGTATAGATTTGGTTCAAAACTTCATGAACCTTCAAAATACGCATGCCAAAAAAAATTAATCCTAAAAACATTGGCCAGTTTAATTTCATACTGAGTTGCACGACAGGGTCGGATCTGCACTAGGGTAAAGTAAGATCACATCAACTGAAAAATTTTATGTTCGAAGTCTGCATTAGATAGGATGCAGGCGGATTCAGTAGGAGCTCTTATAAGGCTAGAATTTTGTTGTTATGTTATCAATTAAAGATCATAGATTATATGGGGCACGGTTCACTAGCGAAATTAAGAATACATTGATTAATTAAGTTAAAAATACGTTTATTTCGGTAACCTTGTTGTTTTTTTGCCATCACCCATGTCTCACAAGGATAACATACCATTGCTCTAATAATGGTTTTATAGACCTTACTCTTCGATTTCTGATGTATGATTTTGGAGTAGAATATGTCAGTTCCATGGACGTCTTTATTTATACGTCCATGGTCAGTTCTCAATAGCTTTGTTGATGTTTTTACTGAAAATTGTTGATTTTACTAGTTAAAATGTATAGCTAAAGATAGTGCAAACACTCTTGACCATGGAGCTGCTCGAAGGCGAAGTCAAAATTCACGTAAAGACAGAAAGGTACTATTGTAAGTGGAATTATACAGTGCACAGTACAATGCGTTTCGCATGGGACTAAACCAAATTTCGTCTACTGCGCCATAGTCTGGATTTCGCTGCAATATCTCAACTGCCTAATATTGTTCTAAAGTTGTGACATTGTGTATTATTGTTATAGAATTATTATTTTTTTAATATATTGGCTCGTTTTCTTTTAATTGGACCACCAGTTATTCAATTCAAAAACATCATCGTATCTAATTTGTTACAGTAATGAATTTATTTATTTTTCATTAAATTCAGATTCAATTGTGTGCCAGATAAACATGAACATACATCCTTATTTGTCTCAAAATCCTGATCATAGGGTAAAAATGGGGGCTCGCCCATTTGGAAATAATTTGAACATATTTTTTAAAACGTTTTATACTTGTCTAGTTCAATAAAAAATTACCGTTTTTCAGTCTAGCTATTTGTGGAGAAATTTTGTTTAAAATCTAATGTAAAAATACATTAAAAGATCCACATAAAACGATTTGTAGAAACAATTACTAAATCTAACAATAAAACACTGAAAAATTTTGTTTTTACCACTTTAACAAAATTTATTATTACTACACCTGTTTCGGCACAATACCTTTCTCAATTATCTATTTTTGGTATGCGTTTACACTTAATAGTCTTTAACTGAAAAGTTGAGGAGGGAAGTTTGTATTCACTGTGTGTCTCAAGTTGATCATAGAGAAATATATGTGTATTTTCTATTTTGTTAATTAATTTCCTTAGATTTTAATAAATATAGCTTAAGGCCTTTATTTTGAATGTAAAGAATTTGAAATTGGTCATTAAAAGAATGATTATGTTCTAGAAGGTGAAGTGCGTACGTAAGATTTGTTTTTCTATTATTGGAAACCCTTTTGTGTTCTGCTATACATTTGTTAAACGTTCTACCAGTTTGACTGATGTAAGTTTTTGTTTTTTTCTGAAAGCTGGTGCTATAGTATGCTAATAAATAGGTTTATATGATTTAATGTCTTCTGTATGTTTACCGGACTTGGGAATTGTAATAATTTGTGCCACTTTCCTTGGAATGGGGTAATAAGATTAGGATTATTTCCCATTCTTAGAATTGTATTGAATATCTGTGTCAAGTACAGAATTCCTTATTTTGGGGAGTTATTTGAGAATTTTGGCGGTGATCAGGTCATATCCAGTAGACTTTTTAGAGTTCAAGTCTGATGGTATCTTTTGGTAAACTTGTTTGGTAGTAAATTTTTTAAAAAAGGCTAGATCAAGTTGATATCCAATAGCCTGGAAACAATTATAATTATATTAAAATAGTTTATTAGAAATATGTGTTATCGCCGAATTATAATATTGTGAATTATTTAATAAATTTGGCGAACATTATCAGTGCTTTATTTATAAAATTTACTTTGTGTGTAGATCTACTCCATAAAATTTGTGTTTATTTTGTGTAAATGTTATAGTTTTTTATGTCAGTTATAACGAATATGTGTCTCCATCGATTGCAGATATCTGTCAAATATTCGTAGAAATAGTTAAGCAATTTCAGCTGAACTATTATTTAAAGTATTTATTGTAACAAATAGTATATTGGTTGAAACTGAAAATAACCTAAATAGTGTAATTCATTAAAATATGTTTTTATATGAGTAGAATTTTTTTATTTTAGTGTATATTTTTGGAACGTTCAACTGTATACCACTTATATGTGTGTTGTATAACTTTAATTTTACATGACACATGCTTTAATGGTAATGTCAGCTGTCAAAAGTGAACGGCAACTTTTTGATCCCAAGCAACTACATCTTTCGATTTTTAAGCAACATCTCCGTTGCATAACTATGACGCTCTCTTACAATGTAAAGATAAGTACAATTATATTAAAAACTTATATTACCAGAAGTGTGACATAGCTGTAACTTCTCTTTCGTGCAGCTTATGTTTGTCTTTTTCTCATATACCTAAGATGTTATATATTACAATTTAATATGATAAAAATTTTATTTTTATCGGATTTCATGTAATTTTAGTTATCTCTTGTGGGTGGACGAGTGGTTTGTTAAAGAGTGGAATTAGCGGGATTTAGGATTTTTCAATTGTAAATATAGAGGAACGATTTTTACTATGTCTTTTCTAAATTTGAAGGTAGATCATCATATTTAAATTGCTATATTCCTCTATCTCTCTTCTAAAGAGAAGAGAGAAATTGTCAATAGCTTTCAGTCAATACAGAATTAAAATTCCAAAACATGAATACACGAAAGACATGTACATTTTGCAACACTGACTAGGTTCACATCGTGGTTCAGAAATCTCCCCCAGTCTTACAATTTGCTAAACGATCATAAAATTTTCGTTTAATACTTTCTAACATGACTGACGTGTCATCTATTACAAAACTTAGATAATCTACGGTCTGAATTCTTCAGAGTTGCATTAAGTTCCTTTAATGAAAAATAAATCAGCATTTTTTCCGTTTTCTAATGAGGTAACGCAGAATATTGCCGATATAACATGTTCTCTGTATATTTTATTTGAAAACATATCATTCAGTCTAATGTTAAATAATTTTTTCAGTTCTTCGACTTCCTTGCCTATATTACTATCTTATTGAATCATAATTATATTAAATCAGTCGTCAATTCACCTGTTTTATTTATTATTAATTAATATTATGTTTTGTGAGGTTAAAAACTTGTAAAATACGTGATTTAATTGTTGAATAATTTCTCATTTTACTAAAATAGTAAAAATATTTCTTAAGTGAAAGTATAAACCTATTCAAATATAACAGTGAGAAGATCTGACTGATATTATATAAATAGATCGTTCTAAACCCAAACTTTAGCAAATATGTGACTCGTCCACCATTTTGTAAATAGACTATTCCCTCCTATAATATCTTATAACTATATTATTAAAAAAAGTTGCTTGTGATCGGTTTGTGTAGATATTAAAGATGTTACCATCGAAATACATGGTTTCGAAGAAAGGTCGATAATTAGATAAACATGTAAATAATGTTAATTACGAGATGCAACGAATATTGTTATGTTGTTTGGGACTTGTATACAATATTAAGCATTTCTCGTTATTGAGAAAGTGTATATTTAAAGTATTCTAAATGTAGAAAAGAACCCGTTTTGTATAATGGAAAATATTAAAGGTGTATATGTTTTTGAAAATCATTTATATAATAAATTTTTTGATCAAAATTAGGAGTTTTAAAATTTTTTGCAATCACATACCTAATGGTCGATGAGTTAGCAACGTTAGAAAACATTTAATATTAACATGACTCATTAACTACAACCTTTGTTCTGTAATGATTCAGCCGTTTCACGACTTATAGGCGTTGGTCTGAATTGTTCTTCCATTGATAATATCTGTCCTGCGAGAGACATTATCAAGCGAAATGCGTAAATAATTGTTAACTCAGTGATCAGCGTCAAATTAGCTAAGCTCATCCTCACCCTGATGGAACGTAGTAAGTAATTCCAGGCCATGAACAAGCAGATCAATAACAAATAAATGTATTATTGTCAATGGTATTGATATTCGTACCTGTTTCTTATGATCAAGAGAAAGTCCTGGAAGCAACTCGACTTGTGAGGGTATTGTGTTCACCGACTCAAGTAGGACCATACAGTAGGCAAATAACTAAATAAAATGATAGCAGATCTTTTACTATTTTTTCATCTTTTTTTGTATTATTGTTCTACCTTCTTCTTTCTCACATTTATGGTGAAATTTTGTAGAACATATTTTAAAAGTAAAAAATTTATTTAAAAAACCTTTATAACAGGTATATATTTAAAATACCCTATCGTCATATCCTATCATACCCTATCGTAACACCAGCAAACGTTTTCGGAATTAATATTCCATTATCAGTGTTATCTAGATGTACATGTTTTGAGCCACTAAATACTTGGGTAAAAATCCGTTAAATGTTGTTAAATTGAATTTAAGTTACATTATTTGATCTTATATACTTGGATATATTACTAGGAAGTTACAACCAGAATTGATAACATGGCAAATGCCATGTTATCAATTCAATAACCGTAGTAAGGAACATATGTGGCGCTAAAGCGTAGGTAACACCTCGCAGTTAAGTCACTGAACGAATCCTAGTTTCTGATGATGATGATAATGCTTATGAAAATGTTTAATTTCGCGCTCCTCATCATATTGTATTTTTCTTTATTTCATCTCATTGTTCTTCTTTGTTCAGTTGAGCTACATTATAATCTGAATTTGACTAATGAGATATCATTAATTTCCCTGTCCAAATTTTCCTCTCAAACTCATCCTACGCCTCTAAAACACCTAAATTTATTTCTTTTAATTTTAGCTTTCTGGTTCAGTCCAAGATGCGGATAAAAATGTATCAGATACATGATGATGTATTCAGATTCAGCAGTAAAATCATTACTTCTTATTTCGAGAAAGAAAAGTAGAAAAATGCCTTTACTCGTAAGCTATGATTGCTAGATAGTCTAATAAACCGTCTTGAGTCAAGCTGTGGTGTCCGAGTAGGTGTTGCCTTGGCTCTATGTCCACAGGTTTGAATCCTGATGAGTAGACTGTAATATTTTTCTTTTCATAAAAAATTATGACACAGCGATTAACGTTCATAGCTAAACATACGCTTCCTCGGTTGTCTTCACTTTGTTAAAACTTAAAATCAATTAAAACATCATATCCCAACAGTATTGCAAACAGTTTTGGTAATAGGTTGATGTATTCGTGTTCCACCCTTACTATTACGTGCTTACATAGCGTTGCTAACTCTTGATTATATACCCAGTTTTATTGTGTGTCTATAGATTGGTTGACCATTTTTAATATAAATATTAGTGTTAAAAATCAGTTAAGGTTTATTAGATTATTTAAGCAGCTGAAAATTGTAGGGTGTAAACCAACTATATTATACAACTAATGCTAGTTTACAACTTAGGCATCTCCTTACGATAAGGTGATCCTTATAACACAAACACAAAGTAAAATAATAAAAACTTAATTGTGATTACACTTGCAGAGATCGTAATATCTGCATACGAGTTGTACAGTACTTGTACAGCAAATTCAAAATTTAAAATAATTGTATATATATATATGTAGAAGATCTATGGAGTAGTATCACCGAGTCGCAACCCCTTATCTCGATCCTCTTTGTATTTCTGTCCGGTAGAAGCGCCTGAATTGAGCTGACCACAGTTTTGAGTTTGGAAATGTTTTATTGCCATTGCGACCCCACAACTCGAAAAAAGTTTTTGAAAAATTAAACATACTACAAATACATAATTACGAATAAAAGGAGGAAGTTAATCGTGTTGCTTTATTTGTTTTATCAAGAACTTATCTTTCCAGGTAGGTGGTCTAGATATTTGATTCTCGTCTATGGCCAACTAGAGTCTATACCGGATTCGTCATTGTAGAACAATAAACAGAGAAAATTGTGCAATAAATTGTTCTGACATCCACATGTCTAAGTCTATTTTTATACATATCCTTAGAAAAATGGCAAGTAGAACTTGTTTTTGTTCTTCCATTCTCCCGCTTAAGTTCATTTTTCTCCTAATTGTTTAATTACTAACTTGTTTTTAAGAGGAACGTACGTAAAACTAACTTCTTTTCAAGAGGAAGAAGGTGTGTAAAATCATTTTTTTAAGTATTAATAACACTATTGATTGCTACTTGTCGCTTTATTTTGCAATTACCTGCTTTAAAAACAAATATACAGTCCTTTCCCCACTCGAATTTTCACCCATGAGTTTCACTGGCAAGAGCTTCACTGCTAAGAGCTACAAAATTTCGCGACTTCGCATAATATGCGATAATTGTATGTGATAATGCAACTTAGCCTATTGGTATCGACACATCCGAGAGCATCGGTTTTGAATCAGACCAATATCTATGCCAGATATAGTTCGGTTACAGTATAATATAAAAGCCACGTAGTTTATTATTCCATAGCTGAGCAATCAATGAACGAAGAAACTGATTTACATCGACTAATTTATTATAAAATATTTATGTGATATGGTTAATACAATGTTAAAAATTTATTAAAAGTGTTGATTGAAAAAAAAATTATGGCACTGATTATAGTTAATGCTGGACATATAGTTAATGAAAGGCAATATGGCATTGCTAATATGTAAAATTTAATTCATTGATCAGTTGGAACTGTATTTTTAGAAGATGGTTACTATAATTCAAGAGTAGGAATTCTAGGAATACATTTTATTTTTAGTATTCTATTTAGTATTTTTACAGTATTCAAACCAAAGTCAAGTTTTTGTTATCTGAGACCTAACATAGTTGCTAGACTTTAAAAAATAATGAATAAAATAGTTTTACTTTAACACATGTGATTAATATGATTTACAGGAAGTTAATCATCAGTACATAAAGTATTGGTATTTTTTACATAGTAATTTTCTGAAAACAATTTTTTTGTTTCAACTCTTACATGATTTTGTAAAATGGAAACATATTTTAATAGGAATTAAATGTTATATACTAAAATATTTTAAAGGATGGCCAGTTAAAATGAAGATTGGTACACATAGTGAAGATGAGATGTGGTCAATGGACAAAGAGGCTCATTATACAAAAGTTAACTTTTAACAGTTCAGTTAAGTTCAGTCGGCTATCGATGCTGTATGTCGATTGATTTGCAGAATTGGAAGCCCAAGAATGTAAAATATAGCTTTCACTGTTCCCCCTTCAATGGTCCCATTTGAAATCATATAATTGAATCCAATGTTAAATTGTATATGCTCAGTTCTTCACTTCACCGTCTGTATAGAACTTATATACGTCTGATAAGCCGTGTTTATTTCCCTCTGATGTTTCATATGCGATTGGGACACACACCATTTAATATTTATTCGTGCAATTGTGTTCTGGATAATGACTGATCGCTGACATATCGAACGAAGCGAAAATATTACCTCCTTGCCTCCTCTAACTCTCATGACTTCAACAACACCAATCTGGATTGGAGCTATTGGATACCAGTACAACTATACATTTTATTATGTATTGCTAATTGGTTTATTATTAAAAGTGTTTTTGTAGTTTGTGATTGTAAGCGTAAATTAAAATTAGCTGTTAATTATTGCTTAATTTAATATTGTAACACTTAATTTAAATCAACTATAAGAAATTCAAGAATCAAAATAAGAATTTCAACCTGATTAAACTTACAATTTGTGTTTTATGTTGTAGTTTTCGGACCGCACATTTATATTTTCTGGTAAATAATACTACAAATATGATTCTGAAGATTAAAATTATTTTCTTTAAATGGTTCCATTTTATCATTTAAAGTCTTGTGTTGCTTTTTTAATTATTTGGTTTTAATATGGTATAGTAGGTTTACAATCCTAATTAAAAATGGTTAATTAATGTTTACAAAAATGTCTGATTAATTTTTGTAAAAAATTTTTGTGTTTTTCGTATATCTTTAAATTAAAAGACTGGAATTATCATTTAGTTGCATTGTTAGATAAGTTAACATTTTTGTAAAAATTAATCATACATCTAAAAGTTGAATGCTGAACCTGTTACTATTTGTGTAATTTTATTTATTCACTTCTTGTGTATACTAATATAAAAAACTGAATTTTTAGAATAATTTTATTTTATTTTAAATATATTTTATTTAAACTGAAAAATATTTCACTAAGAAAAATTGTGTCTGAAATGGTGTAAAATATAGGAATACCCAAATTATGTCCAGTAAGAAAAAGTATGTTAAAACATTCACATATAATAGCTGAAATCAATTTTTTGGAATTTTTTTTTATTAGCCAGATATTTTCCAAATGCATAAACATATCCATTATCAGTAATTCAGGAACATTGTTAATATACTTTTTAAAAACTACTATTATTAGGATATAAATAGAAGCATATTATTTATTGTTAAAATATATTCAGATATTCAATATTTACATAACAAAAAGGTGTTCTTTTTAATTAGAAAATATAGTCCATTTTATTGTCGTTGTTAGCGATATATATCCACGCTGATCGCCAATACCCGGAACGGATAAAGAAGGAAGAAAAAAATTTTATTAGATCTTAAAGTCCTCAATATTAAATCCATTTGGAATCAGATATTTGGTATGTCAAATATTTAAAAGTATTTTCTAGAACTTCCAGACAATTTAGATAAACCACGGCGAAAGAGGCGATTGTTGCGTACCAATTGCGTATCCTGGATTTCTATATTTCCTAAATATAAGAAATATAACTAAAAATGAGTTCGGTGTTATACACATTAAAGCTTTCCCCAGATAGTTTTACTTAGAATTGTTGTTCTTGATATTTTGCAACTAATGTAACGAAGCCATGATGTTCTTGCTGTGAGTCGAAATTGATCTACTACAACCCAAAATTTCCGTAAATTTATTATTGTTTTCCATGTTTCTTTATTTTATTCTATTGTACTTACGTGGTTTCCTAATAAAAATATACTTTACAAGTTTTGTCTCTCGTGAAGAGCACGAAACTACGTATTTTCCTCTGAAGTTACCGGACTAAAGGCATAGTTTCGGCGACATTCACTGTGTTGTGTATCTGCGAGTTGTTAATTACTGCGAGTATTAGTGTGTTTTGTTGTCTTGCCCCCACCAGTGTTTCATTACTATGATTTCCTTAATGAATACCGCTTTCAAAATCTTCACTACGAAATGGTTATCGTTTGCTGTATAAGTATTTATACAGTCCGTGCGAACAATAGAGAATCCACAAGGAAAATAAATTTCCTGTAGTCGGCTGTATACCATAAATCACAAAAATGTTAACTAAAAAATCATTTATAAAAAGGTATATTTATTTAAAAGACACCTTAGGGCTACATCACAGAACGTTTTCGGAATTAATATTCCATCATCAGTGCTACTATCTGGAATAAGTATTACCACTGTAATTAACCTTCACGTTTGTTTTAATTAAAGTGGTAATACTTTCCAGGTAGCAGCACTGAGGATGGAATAGCCACTCCAAAAAAGTTCTGTTATGTAGTGCGAAAGAGTTCTTTTAAATAAATATACATTTTTTATAAAGAATTTTTTAAATAGAGAAAATTGGTAAGATTTGTGGATATTTAACACCTTGATGAATTGTTTCGATGAAAAAAGAAACATAGAATATTTATCAGAAGCTATTAAGTACTACTTTACTTTTTCGTATCCGAAAACTCAAAATTTTCGGCCCAATAGGACTACGTAAAATACTTCTAGCTTATTAGTCGTGAGGCTGCAAGTAGTAGGACACTATATGTCTCATGTGTATAGTGCCACATTCGCATGTATAATCTGTTTCGTTTCTAATAGCCCACTTCATTTGGTTGGTTTTCACGGGTGCCATGCCGGTTCTTATTCGGTTAAGATTTCTCCAAACTAACCACTTGGAGTTTGTGCCACTGGGAATCTCATGGAGAAGTGCGTAGTTAGCAGGTGAGCCTTCCAGGGCAACATACAGGAATCATCCGCGAAATTTCAATCTTTCAGATTTGCATTCTGCTCATAAAAGAGGATGGCGTAGATTAATTGTCTGTTTGGTCCGTTCATTGAATTGGTGTGCTTTTCTGAGGTAGTTGGGGCCAGCAAAACCGGTGGCTTTACAGAGTTTTTCTATTAGAATTAACTTAATACTGTCTGATGTGAATCTGCAGGTTTTGTTCAGGATGACATCAACTTTTATGGCGTGGGTTGATCTGTAAAGGACTGGACATTCAGACTCTGCCGTAGATTAGTAGAGCGAACGGGCACTGGCTCTTAAATCGGCCTATCTGAAACCCCACCTGCTATTGGTGAGTTTTCTGAGAATATTGTTATTTGCTACCACTCTCTGATTTGTTTTTTCACAATTGTATGTGTATGTCATCGATCTGTCTAATCACGCCAGGTAGATGGTTTTCTCTATGTGTTCTCTACTACAGTGGTTACATCGAAGGGGCTTCACATACGTATATATTAACATACACGTGTTAATATATAAGTCTATAATAGGTGGCTCGGTAGTTTTCATTATATAGACATGTGTAGCTCGGGTATGCCCTGCAAATTGAGCAGATTCCGAATAGTACGTATAAAGAAGTATTTTTTTTAAATAAATAATGTTCCTGAATTCTTTAACAAGTTGTAAATTGTTCTTGATTAATGAAAAGTGTTATTTATAGTTATTAAAAGAATTGGTTGTGCCAATCATTCATTATTCTAATTATAATTGTGCCTTATTTCGGATTCTAAAATTTTTTTATTTCATGTTAAATTGAAAGTTTTTTATTCAGTTTCATCATACATTGGCAAATCTTGTACCAAAATTTCATATTCCAACAATTATCGAAGTGATTTACATTTAAAAAGCCATACATGTTTTATGGTTTCCGCCCTTACTTTACTGCATGCATCTCAATATATTTTTCCATTACGCTATATTAGTGACCTTAGATACTAAAACGATTATTTTTCACAATCATTTCACCGTCCAAAAATAGCTTCAATCATTTCACCGGCCATAGATATCTGCACTGGTAACTCCATCATTGAAGTGAGCATTTAAAAAGATACTCCGCTCTTTTCCTACTAGTTTTATATCTTGTGCTTCAAGAGCTTGTCTCCACTGTTCCAATTTTTATTATCCATTAACCACCAAGAAGTGTTACCCCATATATAGTTTCCCTTTTGTCAGTCTCTCCCACACCTGTCCTAATATTAGCTGTTACTAGTATTTTATTATTTTCATCTCGGGTACATCTAATTTGATTCAAATCTTTTGTTTTCTTTGATCTATGCTTGGCAATTTTATATATCTTTGCTTTGCCATCCATGGTAAAAGATTGATAGTATAGATTTGTATGCACTTCAGTGCCCTTTATTTTTTCTTGTACTTCATTTGACCACTCCACACCACGATTTGATTTTTGTGGTCCTCTCCGATATTTTGAATTCGTTTCGTTTTTAACTTCTATATCTTGTTATGTTGTCATAAAATAATCTTGGGAGTGGTTTTGTCCTCTTTTGTATGTGATAGTTACTTTCTCTCTTTTGTGATAAGTGTATGTGATAACAATCGCCATATCTAATGCTGATGGTAATTCCAGCCTAGCATCTATAGCATCATTTCTAGTTCTAAAGCCTAGTGCTTCACATATTGCTTCATATCCTCTTTTGGATTGATCCATATGTGCATTAAAATCATCTATTATGATTCTGATGGAATATCTCTAAGTATGTCGTCTAATTGATCATGGAAAGCTTAGTTTTCTGTGAGGTGCATGCACACAGAAACATTTAATACTTATTCTACTACATGATCTTTTCTTTATCAGCAATTATACAACGCTACTCCTAGTATTACTTTTCCTTACATACCATAACTTGTATTCCTAAAGTAGTTCTTTCGCATTTTTCCTTTCCACCTAGTCTTTTGAATGTAACTCTCTTTCTTTTATGCAAATCTAGCAACTGCATACTCTCTCCTGTAAGACATTCAAAAGACAGTATTTAATTCTTTATAATCAGTGGAGGATCAGTGTTTTTTCTTAATGACACTGATATATATTTTTTGTGATAGTATTGGACGTTTCCAAAATTTCGTGTTATAAATAGATAGTTCTACCAAACATCCAATATGGTTTTCTAAATTTCTTATCGAATTCTTCTCGCTAATTATTTCATCCCCATTCCTGGATGTAAATATAATTATTTTCTATTTGTAGGCTCCTTCATAAGTATCCATTTTGACGATTTGACCAAAGCCTTCATATCAAATGTTTTCCCGAAACAAATGAAGCAAGTTTACAAAACCTGCTTACTATTGATACAGCTTTGGATGTGGACATTGAAGGCAAAGAGTGCTTCTTTCTCTATATCTCTCGTTCCATGTCATTTTCCGAAATCAAATAGTATAGGTCAAATATTGTTTATTAGTGAATAAACCTGAATTATTGTAATTAAAATTACATTTTATAATTGTTTCGACGTTTTGATTTCCACTGCGGAAATATTTTTTAAAAAAGATAGTTGTCTTGTCGCTTTTGTTGACCAAATTGATGGGTGACTTACTTGGCCTTGATCTTGTAGGTAAATAGCCATGCTTGTAGTTGAAACTTCTGATAGCGATGTTTGTATCCTTAAGATGATATCAAATTCTTATTGTTTTGTATGCGTATGTATTATGTATTTATGTGTCTCTGACTTTTATTAGTCCATTAATGTTGGTATATTCTTGTTGCTGACTTCTTCTTTTCATATTGGTAACGAGCGCCTGCTATATTCTGCTGATATATTTGCTACACATTTTTCTTAAGTAAGATGATAGCTGCTTCTTTGTTTTTTCTCTTTTTCATGACTATTGATATATTTTTAAATCTCTTCTTGTGAACGTTTCTGGATTGCTTATGGTGTTTTGTTGTTTCCTTTCTTCGGTCTTGTGAAATTCCTTATTTATAAATTATAATGAGGGATAATTTTTTTTTTAAACCTTTGGTAGCAGGTTATTATATTACTTCTTGAACTTAATTTTCATTGAAGCGGGTGCTTTGGGCTCTATCGTATAATGATTCGATAATTCCCTTTTTGATATTTATATTTTGGTTTAAGTAGTAGGTTGGTGTGGGTTGGTTTTCTGTAAACTTTGGTTGCATATCTATATTCTTTTGCGATTAACACATCCAGAAAAGGAAGAGAATTGTTGTTTTCTTTTCCCATGGTGAAATTGATTGACTCTTCTTTACTGATGTCTATCAGAAATTTATTCAATGCTTCTGGTCTGCGTCCCCAAATAGAGAACACGAACACACATTTGTATTTTCAGAACGATTTCCGAAGTGGAAATCGAAATGTTAAAATAAACTTGTGGCTTATTCCCAGTGAAAATAGTAAATTGTATTAACATGCCACAAGACAATAGCTTCAAAACAATATTATGTTAATATAATTGTCTTAAAACTATATATGCGTAATATTTTTTATCTTGTCTACAATTTTTTATATTCTAATTTGTTCAGAACCAATCTTTAAATTTTTTAAAACTTTAAGTTCTTTTTTAATTTCTTGGAAAAATGTTGGGATTTTTTATTTTTAGCGGAGAAAATACTAATTTACTCTGCAATGTAAAGGTAAATTTTCAATTAAGCATTATTAATTTTATAGATTTGTGAAAGAACTGTCATATTTGGTTAAAAAATTATAGGTCAATTAGTAGTATTGAGTTTTTAGGCAATGGTTTTGGATATTTAAGTATTTTTAACATTTTGTTGTATAGAATTTAAGAATTAATTTATCATGTTGTATCATAACTCATGTAAATATTTTACTGTCTTAGTATATTTAGTTCTAACCTTTAAAATGAAAAGTGGTTAAAGTTTTTATTTATGTTTTTTTGTTTTAAAGGTTCGACTTATACCTATTTATATACAAGTATACACAAATCATTCACTACCAAAATAAAGGGGAGAGTCACAACTAACAATAAAGTTACGATTTGAATGCTATAGACCTAATAATAAAGGAAGTAAAGAAAAGATGAAAGTTAAGTAGAGAAAAACAAATACCAAAAGCATCGTATGATGTAGACGCTTATTTTTCCCCTTCTTCATGTCAAAGTTTAGTCATTTGTTGCCTGTTTCGGTATTAAACATCGCTCCCTATTTTTAAAAGGCACCCTAAACTTCTTCCATTCCATTTGTAATTTAGTTCAATTCATCCTATTTATATATTGTTTCCTTTGTTCTCTGTATTCTTTTATTTTCCCATTGATCAAGTAGATATCCAGTTCTTCTTCAGGTCAAGTAGATACTAAGTAACGCCTTTTATTCTTCTGAGAAATCTCATTTCTCTAGTTTCGAATTTACTAAGAAGTGGAAATCTCCTTCAGAAAACCAGATAGGTTGAAGGCCCTGAGGTGGTATCCTATCATAATCTATCTTTTTTTCCTGTCTTGTTCACCATTTCCATATCCTTTAAAGCAGTATATTCGCTTCCAAAAAACTGTTGAATGCAAGTATGTAGGGGAAGTAACCTATCGGGAGATCAAGAAAGCGAGGGAGGATGATGTGGATCGAGAGATTTGTTGAGGAACGCCAGGGTTAGAATTGGGCTATAGAGCCGTAAGGGGATGGATAGAGTATATTAATTCCCACCGTTCTCATATGTCCATAACATATAACTTGTTTCTTTTCTATTTTTCAAGTGAGGATTGTTTAAATCTGTATCATATATTTTATTTATTTTCTTTTGATACTTTATACATGATTATCTTTTAAAAAGCTTATCTTCAAAATATCCATCTCTTGGGCGATTAATTTTTTTTACTATAATTACCTCTGCGTCATAAATAACTACCTGTATTGTTAATAACAAATAATCTAATGCTTATTAAAAAAGTAAGTACTAAATTATTTATTTAGTATATATATTTTTTATCTTGTTGGTATCTTTATTATCGTTTACTTTTTTTTTAAATCGTTCTTTCCATTGAGTTTATGAACTAATTTCTTAGGCTATGGAGCCAGGAAATACGTTGGCCGGTCTCTTTTACCAAACACTTTTCCTTCAATAACTAAGTTAGGTAAACCGTATCTCTCAATATTTCTCATTATATATTCAAAATACCCTAATTTCCGTTATTAGTATTGTGGTAAGCACTTCATCTTCTCTTCCCATTTCAGAATTCGTCAGTCTAATACCCATGAGATCCGCAGAATTCGTCTACAGCATCACAACTGAAAATCCTCCAATTTCTTCGTAGGTACCTTCGACTGAGTTGGGAATTATCTAGCTATTAATTAGCCGACATTTTGATGATAATCGGAGGTCTCGACTTTTAAAAATTGAATCCATCAAGCTATAATGAAAACAAACACTACCATTTTACAAAGTTCTTCAGGTTCTATAATACGTCCGATCTGAAATGTATTGAAAACATTAGGTTTGTGTAAAGGTATCTTATTCCACATTTTCCACAAGTTTTTAGTGTAAATTTGATCGGTTTGAAATATATTTATTAGAAGAATTCCATCTGTTTATATATAACCTGATTAAAATAGCCATTCCAGTCATATTGATTTCATTGAGATTATTGTGTGATTTCAAATAAGCAAAGTCAGCTCCTCTTAGCAAAATTTCAACTATTATAATTTTATTATTATCTTCGGAGTCTTTTCTTTATCGATAGATCCAACTGGATAAGTTTGTGTTTATGAGTATTAGCTTACTTCGATAAAATTATTAAGACAATCCGCACACGGGTCGTTATCCATGGTAGGTGTAAGATAGGCGCTACAAAAATATAATCGTTTAGATCAAGGGCTGAACAGGATTACGATCGGGATTTGCGGATTATGTACCCCCTACGAGCGGGATTTCTATTATGTATATCCTACAAGTAGGACTGATTAAATTTTCTACTTTTCATGTTGGAAGATATGTTGGTATATATGTTGTTAGCGATTCTCGTTTTCTTATTAAGGTTGTAACCACGTCATACTTATTGACAGCTCTACAATCGGTGTGCGTATTCACACATGACGCATCTTTTACGCATAGCATAGCAAGATTTTTATTTTCTTATTGTAAATTTTTCCGATACACTACTTTTACGATGTTACTTGAATATTGACTATTGACAAGGATGGATCGAGGTTAATGTATTTTGAATCCTTTAGGAATTTTATATGTGATATTTATCACTACCACAGGTACCGATAATGGGTCAATTAAATTAAATATGAGGAATGACTAACTTGAGCAACAATAAATCAAAGTTTTTTTTTGTTTTCAAAGATAATTGTTATTCAGACATAAAATAAATAGTTACAGAAAGGAAAGTGTTCGTATGTATATTACGTTCCCTCTATTAATGATTCTCCCTTTAGTTGAGTATGTTGTTAAGCATTATTGTAAAATTGCTTATTTATAACTAACCCAACATTTTTGTACCTGTTAGAACTTATGTTTGTACATGTAATATAAATTGGTTCATGATTTTGATATTAGTGTTCATTTTTATTTTCTCACTTTACTTTAAACAAAAAACTTACAAGAAAATATATAAAAAAACCAATCTAGAAGGTATTTTAGATATGGATGATAAAATTTTGAACGGCAACAATATAATAGGAATTTCCAAAGAATCCATCCAAAACAGATACAGTCTTAAAAGGATATGCCTGGGTGACTATTATGTGGATCTACTTCGTATTGCATATCTATATTTATCTATACAAAATTGCAAATCACGAACTATAAAAATCGTATAAAGAATTGCAAGCTTGTAATTCTATGAAGAATTACATGCTCTTGGTCAGATTAAAGGAAAAATGATAATCCTGGCGGGTTTTAACGCACTCGTGGACGAATAGGCAAACACGTAACACAAAACACATAAATAGAAGAATCCACCCTTCAAACGTAATTGATGCAAAATGTGTAAACTCATTGGAGGGATGAAGCGAGTACGCTATCCTATTATGTAAAAAGAGAATGAACATAAAATACAAAAAAAACCCAATCCTTTAACACTGAAATAAATGAAAATCAAAGTAGTAGAACTAATTTTAAAACCAACATATTCCTATAGGTACTAAAAAAGAATATTACAGAAGTGTTTAGGATTAAACTTGAGAGGTCGCTGGTTAAATATATCAGATAAATAATTATAACGAAAAATGCAATATTTGTTTATACATAAAATTAGCGAAAATAGCAACTATAAATTGTAAATAAATTACGGAATTAACTGGTTTACTCATTATCAATGTTTTGTACAAAGAACTATGGACTTACCCTTTGGTTCTATTGAGGTATTCGTAACAGGCTGAAGAGTTAAGTGGGATGCCGAGGCTAATTAATACGAGACCGGTCAAGTGTGGTGCGTTTCGTTCACTGTGTTACGAAGAAGTGCCAATCTTGAGGGTTTGAGAGCGTCTCGGGCACAAACCACCCTCTGGTTGGATGGTCAACATCTCGTAGGCCGGTCATGCCATAAATCAACCACATGTTTCGATCTTTGTATTTGAATCTTTATCTTGAATACAAAGGAAAAAGCCAAATTCTGCGTACTTCAACATGACAAATGACATAGCCAGTTTAAGTTTCACGAAAGGCAACAGGAAACAATATATTTCAAAAAGGTCTTTAAAATACAGCACTAAATTAGATCACATTACAGTACCGTAACAGAAAAAATATTAACTGTAAAAATATGAAATGAATTCGCATATACTTTCCCAAACAAGAAGATTGCTGAAATCGAAATACTAAAAGTAAACAACATTCAGGGGAACTGGGAAGAGTTCAGAAGCAACCTAAACGACGAAGTAC